GGAAAATATTTGACTGTGATTAGTCAATTCTTACAACTACAACCACTTACAACTACGCTTACGCAATTGTAGAATGGGCTTAAACGCGAATTTCATGTCCTATGGTTGGTTATTTTCAAATGCTCACCGTTTGAAAATTATTGATGCCTTAAGATTTTGCTATTAGGATTTTCGATTTATTTTTTTCATGAGGAATATGGGGGTGATCCCGATTGACCACGGCTCGATTGGACACCACCAATCACAGCGACCGGTGCTTAGGAGCTTTGTAGTCTCAAGCGCTATAAGTGGCTCGTGTCCAATTGAGCCGTGTCCAACTGGGTGCCACCCAGGAATATGTATATGCCGGGTCCTGCGTTAAATCTGGAACACTCTGTATAAGGGCAGATGCTACTCTTGTAAGGTATGATATATCAATTTTTTCCAATAATACGGAATATTTTAAATATTAAATTTGTAAATTTAAGTAATGTGTAAATAAAGAAAGATCTCTAAAATATAAATAATATTTTTTCGTAACTTAATTCAATATCATTAAGAAGTTATTCAAGAATAAGCGCTTAAGTGTGGCGTCTTCCACCCCAATCACCTTAATGTTAAATATAAAAACATCACATTATTAATAAAAATATGAAATTTATCATGTTTTGGTAAACTCGTTTTATCTTCCAAACGTACTACTAATATTTTTTTATTCAATGTAATCTTTATTCCATTTAATGTTCCAATTTAAATAATCAAAAGATATGTTTTAATTTTTAGTCTTTAACAATTCATCTAATTGCTTAAATGAAACATATATATGGTCTGAAGCGATGCAGAAATCAAGACATATTTATTTAAAAAAAAAAAGTCTTCCTGGCCAAATTTTGTGGAAAATATCCAGCGAGCAAGCTGACGTCATTTATCGTCATATTGACGTTATTTTAACGTTAAACATGTTATTTTGATGTCAAGATGACGATAAATAATGTCAGTTTGTTTGCTTCTAGAGTATGAGCATTGGTTTTTAAAGCTTATATTTCAAAACCAATGCTCATACTCTAGAAAGTTTAATATAGAGGAATTCAAATGTTTAACTATCCATGGGGCACGGGTTCCCGTTGTTCGATGTAGTTAAAGTGTGGCAGGGATTATTTTTTTGTGAATTGGGGAACCATTCTAGGTAGTCCTATGGAAAGAATTCGATGAAAAGATTTTAACTAATTGTAAGTAAGAATAAATGAGGACCAACCTAATAACTTTTAGCAAAGATTGCCATAACAAAATAACACATGTAACAAAGATATTCGCACATTACCATGACATTGCTGTGACATCACATTGTGATAAAGCGGACATTCGCATGTCACCATGATGTAACCATGATTGTTGTAATGTAACTGTTATATTTTTGCTATGGGAGTATATATATACTCATTAACTCCTCGCATTGTGCATGTGTCTGAGGATTAACTCCAAAAAATACTATAACGTTTGAAGAACTTCAATGTGTGGACATTCGTCTTCATAATTGTAATCTTTTCAAGCGACTTATTATAACAGTGTACAATTGATATATATATTAATTTATTAATGCATCAGTTAATTACTGCATGAGGATGACTAAAAAATGTGGTCAAAATGTTTAGAATTTTATTAATGAATGTTATTTTTACACACACAAAAACCTGTGTCGCTCATATAGGCTTTATTATTTTTTACTCATTTAACTATATATCAGTTGAGTTCATATATTTTTTACTCATTTAACTATATATCAGTTGACTTCATATATTTTAACCCGGGAAAAAATATTCTATATATAATTATATAAAATTAT